AGATATACTGAGGCTAGTCGCACTTACTCTGATAATGTCTTCGTAGGACCTTATAGATATACTGAGGCTAGTCGCACTTACTCTGATAAATGTCTTCGTAGGACCTTATAGATATACTGAGGCTAGTCGCACTTACTCTGATAAATGTCTTCGTAGGATCTTATAGATATACTAAGGCTAGTCGCACTTACTTTGATACATGTCTTCGTAGGACCTCATAGATATACTGAGGCTAGTCGCACTTACTCTGATGAATGTCTTCGTAGGACCTTATAGATATACTGAGGCTAGTTGCACTTACTCTGATCGCAAGTTATTATTTATAAGAACAGTGACCTGTGTTGCACTTGGAATTATGACGGTGATCAACACGTAGTTGTATTGGGTAGTGTGCTGATAGGTGTGTTATACAATATTGCTATGATTTTAGGTTTTTATACTATTTTTATAAAAAAAAACGACAGCTGATTACGAAATGTGGCTGGAAGTTTGTGAGATTTTACGTTTTCGATTCTTGTTTATCATCTTGTTAATTGTGTCCAGAGACATACTCGGCTCTTCGTAATTTATTTTTGGGTCAGACGATTCTCTTTTATAACAATAGCCTTCACTTTGTGGAAGAAGGGGTGGTTCCGGATTGGGTTGGGGTGTGTTTTGAAACATGTTGATCCCCTAATTGCTCTCTAGAGACCACTGGAGGCTCCCTTATTCGAAATGTTTGTTTCCTTTGACTCTACATCAGTTAATAATCTTAAAGTAGTAATATTTCTTTCCCGAATGTGTTTATTTTATTCCATTTTTTTTTCTCTAACCATAAACCAATCCTTTGCGGTATTGCCCTGCCGGATGGGAATTTGCTGGGAATCAAATATATAGGTGCTAAACATGTCGCCATAGTTCCATGGCTTGCACTTGCTAGACACCTAGCACTACTACCACTGTATTAATATACGTATATTGTCCCTTTATAACATACTTTTCATAGTATAGTAGCGCTTTCTTTAATCTCGGAAATCACTTATTATTATTCTATAATCGAGATTCATTTTAGCAACCATACGTCGCAGCAATACTGATTAAGTTTTCTTATGCCATAATGATCTCATTTTCTCTACAATTAGTTCAAAGTTCTGCTGTGGATGGACTTATTTCCAGTCTTTTTCAGGCTACTTTAAAAGAATATTCATTCATTAGCCGAGAAATTGCTATTCTTCCACACGATGAAAAATTAAATAATTAAAAGCTCTATTGTGCTGATTTTTGCGATTTTATTCTTGTTACTTATTTTTCCAGAAAGTGGTTTGGTAAACAAAGCTAAAAAGTAAAAAAAAAAACTTATATTTTTGCATTTTTAATATAATCTCATCATGATGATGCGTCACTGGCCCTCTACCAGTTCGTTACTTATACGTTTAATCTATGGTTATTCTTCTGAGCTTTCGGAGGTTGTATTATCCATTAAATTTGAAAGTAACAAAAGCTTGTTTTATATAATATACTTATATTCATTATAAAGATTTCATTGTTGAATGAACATTAAATGTCTAAAACTTCGAAAAATTATGTAAAGTAAACAATGACGTCATCTTATTTTGTTCATCAACAGTCTGCACCAACAGTCTTCTCACTCAGCCGTTATTCAGATTTTTGAACTATCGTGTAATTTCTTCGTGAATTATAAAGCTTCTATTTCATCTTTGAAACTAATAAATACTTGTTTTGTTTGTTTCTTTATTTGTTTTTAAGATTTTGTGTTTAGATGATGATGATGTTTTCTGTAGTTTTTGTTTACCTGTATGTTTATTGGATAGTGATTATGTTTTGTACGAACCAGAAATATTCAGTGACTTTTTTCATATTATTTCTTATTCATGCTGCTTTCATAGGAAGAGAAATGTACATTATCAACCATGGTAAGGTGGAGGTAAGATCAAAATTAGGCCTAGGAGGGATTAATGTCTGTTCATTAGAATGGTATTTCATTTAAGAATCAGTTATTATAGTTCATTATTATATGATTGTAGTGGAAATTTTATTAGAATTAAATATGCCTTATAATGTCAAAGATTATCGCTTTAGGACTAGTCTTCTTTAAATGTAAGGCTACTGTGGTAAAACTTTTATGCGATTCCTATATTGTACCGTTACTCTGTAGTATTACACAAAAATAGGCCTCCTTAATAACTAAACTACAGACAGTTCTATACATTGCATATAAAACTATGAATTATTACTCAATAAGTTAGACTACTTTAGTTCTAACTGTTCAAGAGCGATATAACATTTTTATTTTTACTTACTGTTGTATTGACGTAACAATCATTGCATAAAGTTTTAAAAAATGCAATAAACATTGTTTGTATATTTCTTGATGTTTATGATAAAAGAAAGAAAATTTGAACAACAAATACACAAATAAAACTAAGAGAGTTTGTCAGTGTATCCTCCAATAATTTCTGGTAACGTAATAGAAGGCAGATTTTTTTTATTAACCCACTACTGTGAGTTATAACAGTTTCGGGAAATACAACTCCAACCTCTAGTAAATATAGGTTAGGCCTCATTAAGCGATTCGCAGCGATAAGTTAAATTCAGGCCTTGGTCTTCTTTTACTTCGACCCAGCCTAATTTAATTGCCGAAGAAGAAGAAGAAGAATGGCATTGCTCAAAGTCGGCCCATCTCAGAGCAGTGAATCCAAACAAGATAGATGAACTATTTTAACACACACACACAGACATAGATGTATATATCTATATATATATATACATATAAAGGG